CCATATGCAAATTTGGTATCATATGAAAGGTCTTTGAGAGACGATTTTAATTTGACTTAACACAATTTTGTATAGGACTCCTAAATTATTCAAATGTTTTATTTTTCGGAAAATTTTTAGATTTTTTAAATTTTTACAAAGAATTATTTAATGTAATTAATTGAAATTATTACATTAACCTAACCTCATATTATTTCACTGAAACGGGTTTTTTCAGTTTTTTTAAATTCGATATGTTTTGTATTTTATTTAAAAATGTTGAACCCTAAAGTACTTAATATTTTTATTAGCTTTACATTAGTATATAACACTTTATAATTTCATCCGATTACACCGTGAAACAGTCATTTTCGCACATGAAAAAAAACTATGTGTACATGAAACTATGGACAATTTGTATTAACTCTGTGTACTCAGTTTTTCATAATGTGCTCTTATGTCCCTGTAAAAGGGCCTTAAAGTTTAAAGGACATACAATTTCAAAAGATGGAACTCCAAATTTATATAAAAAATTGGTATTAATATTAATATCAAATGAAGCTGACAATCTCTGATGTAAAATAATATTATTTATTTCAATTCATCAGAATTAAAAAAGAAAATGGAGTTTAACGAAAATTTGTAAAAAATTTTGTTTTGAAAATGAGACCTTTTTTTAATTTAATGTCTTTTTAGATTTTTTGTCTAAGTGAGTCAAATAAATAATACAGATAGAATGTACAGATTCCCAGGTTTCATTTGATACCAATACACAACACATACAAATATTTAAAATATTTGTTTGAACTTTGAACTTTGGAGTTATTTTATAAGGACATTATAAAAAACGGAGTATGCAGAATTGCTTTTCTATGTGTGAAAGTTTTTTTTTTCAAAATTGTTACAGGGTGTTATAAATCAAAATTTTCAGTTTAACTAAAATACATATTAACACAGTTTCTTCTAAAAATCTACTTGTTTGTTGAAAATATAATTTCGATAATTTTTGATATGCCATTGAAAGCGCCTCTCAAGGACTTTTCTTATGATACAAAAATTTCATATCATTCCTTTGGATGATATAGGAAAAAAATCATAAAAACCTCAAAAAGGACGTTTTTATCCTTTGATTCAGCTCACCAAATATTGACGCCAGGACAAAAATTTTGAGAAACGGTATTTTAAAATCAATTAAACTTTCATTTTAGTTGGGAACATTGACACCTTAATTTTTCCTCCATACAAACGGGGCGACCCTAATGTACATATGTATGTATGTGCGTTTAATTGATTTTCGCAAGTGGGAGCTATGTATGGTCAATTATGGTCCGATCCGTATTTTAGTTGGTAGTACGATTTCAGTTGATATGAGATCAATGTTTACTGTCCAAAAATGTGTACTTTATTCAAATTTTGACTTGAATTTATTCAATGCGAATGGAATAGTTTACTTGCCCTAAAATAAAAAGTGGAGAACAATAGAGATCAAATAAAATCCCGTTTCAAAAAAATAATTATTAAAATTAATAGAAGCGTTAAAAACGTTAAAAGTGTGGAATTAATTCCATTTGATTCTGAAAAATCATTGGCTAACAATATTTGTCATGTATTAAAGTTAAAAATCATTAATAGAGAAAAATATTTTAATACTACATTATTGTTCCAGCTTTGATAAATACACTGAAATACATTTAACGAAATGCTTCATGGTTTCGCACCATGAAATTGTTTCGTAATATACGAAATTTTTTATTATTATCCTCACGAATTTTCTTCCCTTATGTTATGAAAATAATTGATGAATTATATTATACTTTTTCGTAAATTTTATAAAAAAGGTGCTAAATTTTACTTAAATAAAAAAAACATAATAAAAATATTTTATTTCGTAAAATATTAACGTACATTATAAAATAATTTTATTATTTTAAATGTCCCATACTTTAACCAAATTATTTTTGTAAAATAAAACAAAGTTTCGTAATATAGACGAAAAAATATTTTCGTACTTTGAAAGGGATTTGATTAAATAATATATCGTCTTATATACGAAATTTTCGTAAATATTACGAAAAAAATATTTGTTATTTTTTTTTTGGAATTATTTTCAGTGTAGTACCATATGGTAGGGTTTTAACAAAGTTTGCAAAAAAGCAAAACAGTTTGCTGTATTTTTGTTCCTGGACTTGTTTATTAATGTAATTTATATCTACATACATATTTGGAAAAATAACTCTATTTTAAAGCTTTTTAGCGCAATTAAAAAATAACGTTAAACTGTTAAAATAATAGGCAATTTCAAGCACTAGAGAGAAGAAAAACGTTATAAAATTAAAAAACAACAGATTTCCGGGTGGAAAACGTAGTCCAATTGAGAAACAATGTGGGATATTGAAATAAAATAATTACGAATTATCATAAGAATACTATGAGAACACATTTCAAATATTTACAGCTCAAGAAAAGAACTATTCTTAAGATCAAGCATGTGACAACAGTATTAGATTTACCTGTTGAATAAAGGGTAATGTTATTTGGGCAGAGATATCATGGAAGCTTCGGAATATGTTAAAATCCTAAAATTCCTGAAATTCCATAGTAACTGAATTCTTGACAGTAGATCACCTGCAATGTAGTGACTTGTTCAGCCGTCCGATTTAACTTTATTTGACAAATTTCTATCCAAAAAAAAAAAAAAAAACAACCAACAAAGTTATTAAAATACTGGTATATCATATGGTCGACTTGTTAGATTCTTATGCCCCTATTATGGTTTACAACTCAACTCAGTTGAGTTGAAATTGAAACAACTCAACTTTAGAACAACTCAACTTATATTTGGTATTATGAATTACAACCAATTTCAGTTGTAATTGTGTTGATGTTGCCAACCTAAAAAGTGCTTTTTTGTCATAAAATTAAGTGAAAAGTTTATGAATTTCTGTTTTTCGTAAATGTCAAATGTATTGAACATCTTTTTATTGTAAATTCGCTTGAAATCAGTGATTAATGAAATTTAAAAAAAATGTTAAAAAAAAAAACTTTACTTTGTTTTATTTTAAAAATTTATTCTAAACAATTGAGTTGTAATTTGTTACAACTGCTTTTGATAAGTTGTAATTTTTTTCAAAAAAGTTGTAATAAATTTCAACTTTAAATTTTAAGTTGTTATCGATAATACCAAAGACCAAAATTTCAACTAAAGAAGAGTTGAGTTGTAAACCATAATAGGGGCATTAATTAAATTTTACTTATTTTTCTTAAACACGGTTATTTGTGTTTTTTATTTATATAAATAAAATATCGTCAAATTTTGCATGAGAAGCCAAAAACAATTTAAATGCCCCTATTATGATTTACAACTCAACTCAGTTGAGTTGAAATTGAAACAACTCAACTTTAGAACAACTCAACTTATATTTGGTATTATGAATTACAACCAATTTCAGTTGTAATTGTGTTGATGTTGCCAACCTAAAAAGTGCTTTTTTGTCATAAAATTAAGTGAAAAGTTTATGAATTTCTGTTTTTCGTAAATGACAAATGTATTGAACATCTTTTTATTGTAAATTCGCTCGAAATCAGTGATTAATGAAATTTAAGAAAATTTAAAAAAAAAACTTTACTTTGTTTTAGTTTAAAAATTTATTCTAAACAATTGAGTTGTAATTTGTTACAACTGCTTTTGATAAGTTGTAATTTTTTTCAAAAAAGTTGTAATAAATTTCAACTTTAAATTTTAAGTTGTTATCGATAATACCAAAGAGCAAAATTTCAACTAAAGAAGAGTTGAGTTGTAAACCATAATAGGGGCAAAAATAAAAAGTTTAGTTTCAATCACCGCGATTTGTTTTTCTTTAACGGTAAATCTATCAGTTGTTTTGACAATTCAAATACAAATGATTAGTCTTTAGATTTAGATTTTAGATTTTTTAGCCTTTATATAAAAGTAATTTGCACACAGGGCAGCGGACCAAGCTGGACCAAGGCAAAGTAAATTTTGAGAGGGGTAACAAAAACACGAATTTATTACGTTGTCATTTACAATTACTTGTTATTCTAGTTGAAGATTTTTTAATTACAATTACTTGAAATTGTGATTGAAGTTTACCAATTAAAATAAAAATATTACTTGTAATTGTAATTTAGGTATTACTAAGTACTAATTACTAATTCAATTACATTTACTTTTAATTGTAATTGAAGTTTTTCCAATTACAATTGTAATTGCGATTGATGTTTTCCAATTACAATTATTTGTAATTTAGGTATTACAAATTCAATTACTTTTAATTGTAATTGGCAATTACTAGTATTATAATTGTAATTACAATTACTAGTATTGTGTAATTGAAGTTTTGCCAATAACAATTACATGTATTTACAATTAAAAAAAGCCAATTAATTTTAAAAGTAATTGTAGTTGAAAATATAATCATTAACCCCCAAGTCTGGTACGTATCAATTGCATGAAAAGAGGCTTGAGTGTAATTGAAAATACTTTTTTTTTAATTCGAGAACTTGTTTAAGAAGTTTTTTATTTTTCTTACATAATTTATAAACATTAACGTATGTTTAGGTTATTTTTTTATTATACTAATTTGAATATTATTTAAAATTTATTGATAAAGTCAAAAATGACCTAGATTCTCACAAATTTAAGAACATTTCAGGAATATTGTTGTGAAATCACGATTCAATCAGAGTTTTTGTTTACCCTATTTGGTTCATCAATGCGCATCGTTTGAATGGTGGCGATTGTTAATGTCTATTATATGTATATACATTAATATATTATTTAATGACACAAATAATTATCGCGTGAATTTCTTGATTTTATTTTATTTCACATTTAAAATACACAAAACAATTTGAGTATGCAAACACAAAAATAACCCACGGAAAGAAATAAATACCTATTTTTTTGTAAAAACAGAAAAAAACAAAAATCCCCATTTGTTTTTCTTAGAAATATCTCTTGCGATATTTGTTCGTATGTATATCTAAAATAAGTTCAAAAATTTATCTTCTTTCTTTTTTTTATTGATTTGAATATACACCATACATATAATAAATACACAAAATAGTTATTTTGCATACACAAAGATAAAAACTTGTCTTACATTTATAGAACAGGTTCTAATACTTTTCCTGCAAATATAATACTTCCAGTGGCTTCTTCTTCTATGAAAAATATGAATGGGCGATTTACTGTGAACTCTTCAATAACAGGATTTCCACCAAACTTGTTTCCAATTTCAAAAACAGTAGAAGCGAATGCTTCAGTACCTTTTTCATTTACATCGATGCCGGCTTTTTGAATCACATTTGATACCTTTAATTTTCCGGCCACTTCAGCACCTCTATCTAGACCTGGCAAAGATGCATCATCTGTGAAAATGTCATTTATGCCCAGAGCAGAAAGAGTATTTTTTAGATTTTTGTCAAATTCGAATTTGAATTTGGGCAAAGTAACTTTCAATTTGGTCTCTTCCATCATAAATTGCATACGTTTCACTTGATCGTTTTGCAGGACTTGTGTTAGTTCTTCGACGCCACCCTTAGTTTTAGGCAACAATATGAACATGGAGAATTTTTTACCTTTGTAGGGTAGTCTCAATATTTTTGTATTCATGGAGCTGTGGTCATAATAGTAAAAGTACTCGGTTTGCTCCATATATTGTACACGCGATTGGGTTTCGGGTGTCTTAAAGAAAACTCCCTCATAGGTGGAATTGAATTGACGACGCCACAAACCATTGAAGTATATGGCATTTGTTAATAACAATACGCTATTCTGTACATTTTCTTTAGTGACAAGATTTTGCAAGCGGCCCTGAGTGACATTTTTACACCAGTTATTAATGTGATCTGCCGATGCTTGAGCATCTTTGAAGTTTAAACGTTCGATATCTGTATCGTAATACGTTGCCAGCATTGCTGCGTATCTCTGTTTGGGTTCAATGAACTCATCGGTGAACATCTTTGTTTCCAAATTTAAAGTCGTATATGGGTTTTCCTTCTTTAATGATGTCAGCATCTTTTTATAGAAACCACGTAAATTGTCTGGTGATTTTATTACTTCTAGTGTTTTGATCAACTCCCTTTGTGTTTGTGTATTATTACCTGCTGCTTCAGCCAACAGTGCCAGAAGTAGTTTCACAGAAAATGGGGATATAATAACATTAGTGTTCTCCTCTTCAAGTACATCTCTTAGCAATTCCCATGAGAAATGATCGTGGGCATCACTGCTAAATGGAACGTAGTCGTCCATATCGTCGTAGGCATAAAAACCGGTGTCAAATGTTTGGGGAATAACATTAAAAATTCCTGTTGGTGTTAGCGCATTTGCAGCCTGCGCTGCCATTGCTCCTGATGTTGTTTTTGATTTACCCGGTGGAGGCAGTGGCTCAGGCATATTTGTTAATTTTGTTTCTGCTCTAACACATAGTGTACAATAATTGAATATTATACAGAAAATAATTAATTTTTTCATTAAGATTTTTTTGTTTATCATCTTTTATTTCGTTCTTGGCGTTATTTTTAATGATAGCTAATAATTCTTTTCAATAATCGTCTTGAAATAAATCACACTGATTTGTTTGTATAATAATTGCTTCTCTAACTACGGATTTTTTTTTCTGTTCGTACTATTCTTCTTCGATCTTCTACGTTTAACGTTTAATCTTTAAATGATTTGAAATTTTGTAAAGATTTTGCATTTAAAACCAGTTTCTTTTGCAAAGTTTGTTGTGTGTTTTCTATATTATGTGTATGAATATTCATAAATATACAAGTGTATTGGTGAGGTCCCGCTATTTCCCTGAGAGCATCAGAATAAATATTAAAAATAAACCTGTAATTCCAAAGTACTCTATGTTCTTGTTTATACGTTTCTTTGATCATCTCTTTTTGAAGATTACTCAATTTGTATTAAGTTATTTATACACACATGCATATGTTTAAGTTTTGTTTTTGTTAAATACTCTGGACCAAAGAGATGCTCACACGAGAAAGCTTAAAAAATTAACATTAGTACATATCGTTTTCTTTATTTTTTCTATTTACTTTTGTTGTGCCAAATTTTAAAGTTAGATTCCAATCCATTATACAACATACAAAGAAACATACGCGGAGGCATTAAATTTATTATTTAATATAATTATTTTAAATTGATTTTTAAATTAAATTTATACAGCGACATTAACATTGCTTTTGCGTTCGATTTAAACAATTATAATAAAAATTATGAATACTGTGTGTTTTTCTTCTTCCTTACTGTTTACTTGAAAATTACATCTAAAATAAATAAATTGAAAATTCGATTTCATAATATCAAATTAAAATAATATAGTGTTTCTGAGTGAATAATTTTTTTAAAATCCAATTCACACGTTTTTTTAAAATGCATACCTGTTAAAAATTTTAACATTTACTTTGTAAAATGTCCTGTAGTTTTATTTATCGAATCTAAGACGATTGTTACACTGCCAATCATTTGAATAAGGAATTTAATTTTACCAACTTTGAACGAATATACACATGTGGACAAAAAATAAATACACCAGTAAAAGTTCTGTTTAACAGCTTATAATAAAATATTTATTAGATAGATTAAAAACTGAACATATTTAAAGATTTAAAATAAAAATATGAAAGAAAAATAAATTCAAATCCTAAACTGCTTTCAGTCTTCTTAAAAATGTTTTAAAATGGTGGACAAAAAAATAAGTACATTCATCAAAGGTACCAGAAAAGTAAATCTAATTCAATAGTTTTAAGTTTTTTTTGTTCATTACAACTTTTGTTTGGTAGTATCGTGTGTAACAACCATTATTTTGAATAACTTTATCCACCCTTTTTGGCATACAGGTATTTCGTACCACGTTTTCTGGATAAAGGCCCGTAATTGATTCTTATTTTGAAAACATTCATTAGTTACACTTCTTTTTACCTCTCCCCAAAGGTTTTCTATTGACTTGGCCAGTCCAGTAAGACCACATCATTACCCTTAAACCAATCCTGGCACAACGTTTAGGTGTCCATCGGATCATTATCCTGGTGGAAAACCCACCTGAGAAGCATATTTTCTTCAGCATAGGGCAACATAACATTTTCAAGGATGTATTAAAATGGTGTCATGGTGTCGGAAATCCGATGAATAGGACCAAAAGAAAATGAACGATCCAAGGTTCCGGTAATAAAACGAAGACTTTTTCCCTTATTTCTTAGCGTCAACGCAGTTCTCCTCTTTTCGATAGTTTAAATCTTGCCTCAACCCATCTATTAAATATTTTCCCATTTCTTTTACAAAAACTAAATGGGAATTTATTAAAAATGACAAACCTTTTCAAAAAGCCCGATTAAAAACTTAAAAATATAATTAAAATGTATTTATTTTTTGTCCAAGCAGCGAAAGTTCCCCACGAACAAAAAATGCCAAAATTTGAAAATGGAAGATAATTTAGCTTTTTTTTACAATAAATGGTATTATCATATCGAAACTGATAAAATAACATAGAGTTTCCACTAACACATGTAAATTTAATACACGAAAATGTATACATTTTTTTGACATCCAAATATCGGATTTTTACTGCATCTATGAATAAGATAAGATGTAGTTCAATGTTGTCAAAAATGAACAACATCCCTCCAATGACACGCTAATGTAAAATTCATAGGTTTTTCACCAAAATTGGAAGTACTTCAAGTATGTTACTTGTGGTGAAAATTCTACTTCTTTTTCCTCACTTTTTTTGCTGGGTTCTTATGTTAAGAATTATTTTTTTGATTGATATCTTTTGAGAAAAAACGGAGTTTTTTGAAAAAAAAAATTATTTAATTAAAATATTTTTAAAAATTTTAGAAAAATTCATTTCTTTTAAAGAAAATTTATTTTTCTTTTTACCTCTAGAAAATTGAGGTCTTTTAAACATCACTTGAATTTGTATATTTTAAAGAATCTGGTCCTTATATTGCAATTCAAATTGACAACTGTTGGTTGTCTTGGTTTTATTTTCATTCTCAAAAGAAAAGGAATGCGGAAAAGCTTTTAATACGTTTAAAAAAAAAATAGCAGAAAACACAAAAAATTGGAAAGAAAATAGTGTACAGTTTAGTTTAGTTTAGTTTAAAAAGTATACATCCACTCGGAGACACAAAGCCTCCATTGTGATTCCCTTTATTGAAGAATAAAGAACAATAAAATTAGATAAAAGACAGATGAATAAGAGATAGAGAGAGAAAGTGAGAATAGTAAGAATTTTCCCCAAAAAAAGGATTACTGAACGAAAGTGGACATGGAAGGGAAATCTCCATTGTCCGTTACCAGAATAACCAATATATTCCCCTCTCATCCTAGCCCTCACACAAAATATCCTACACAAAATGGCTTTAATGTTCATAATTCATTTAAAACAGAATAAATATAATTTATACAAAAATTCATCTATTCATCAAATTTTATTAGGATCGGACAATTTTTTACCCTCGCCCCTCTTTCAGAAAATCAATCATTCATCAAACATCAAAGATATTAAAAAAATTCAACATAAATAGTCGGCCACACCCGACTTTTAATTCGCACATGAATGCTAGTAAGCTTTCAAACTTTCCGAAATTAAAAATATACGATTTAATGGTCTTCCTTAGGCTTTATAATTATTGTCATTCTCGAGATCGTAGTTCCGTTAAATTGGTATCAGAGTACATAAAAGAGTTCATAACGTGGTAGCTCGTCATCAAGTACCTATATATTTGTTGTCAGAAACTTAAGTTCTAAATATCTATAAATATTTACCTAAATGCGATAAAAAATAGTGATATACAAATTTCATAGGAAATATTTTTTGGTACATATTTTTCACATGTTTAGTGCATATTTTCGTATATTTTCATTTGCTATTATGGTTTACAACTCAACTCTTCTTTAGTTGAAATTTAGCTATTTGGTATTATCGATAACAACCTAAAATTTAAAGTTGAAATTTGTTACAACTTTTTTGAAAAAAATTACAACTCAAAAAAAGCAGTTGTAGCAAATTTCAACTTAAAAAATAGAACTCAATGTTTAGAATAATTTTTTGGGAATAATTGAAAAAAAATTGTAATTGTCTTAAATTTCATTATTCACGGATTTCGTTTACGAAAAATAGGATTTCATAAACTTTTCGCTTAATTTCATGACGAAAAAGCACCATCTGCTTAATCATCTGTAAATTCGGCACTTTTTTAGGTTGACAAAATGTTAAGTTGTTTTAAAGTTGAATTGTTCCCATTTCATTTGAGTTGTTTCCATTTCAACTCAACTGAGTTGAGTTGTAAACCGTAATAGAGGCATACAACCGTATTCGGGTGTACGGTTGTATGGGGGTAAGGTGGAATAATGGACACTTGAGTCCACTAAATTGATCCCTTTGTGATACCTGAACTAGAGAAAACCCTCAGCGTATTAGTACACTTCAACCTAAGTTCGCTGGTTTCTTAATATACGAATATAGGAGTCTAACTTTCGGATTTCAACATTCGGTAGAACCGTTAAGTCGAGCAAGAAATAATTAGACTCATTATAGGATCTGCTAGGGCGGGTCAATGACAGAGGAAGTGATTAATACTCTTTACTTCCTCTTCATCCTATTTTGTCTTTGGTGCAACATAAACTAAATTTTGTTGAAATATCTTCAAAAATTCAAAAGTTTTAAGGGTTTTTTCAGATGTGGTTTACACTTTCAAAATTATTAAAACCTTCTGCAAGGAAAAATGTTGGAGGAAAAACATGCATTGGCATAATTATGTTTTCTCCCGTCTATACAAAACAATTAAAAAGTAACAGTATTTTTTAAATATATAGTTCATTTCCATTCCGTTCCACTCACTATCAATAATTTTAAATTACAAACACACACGTGTTAGTTTTCATACACAATATTTTATTCTAATATGGCAACTACATGTTTATAAATAAAACTTTGGTAGAAGAGATTAAAGCATATGTTTTTGACAAGTAAAATCGACTGATTTAAAGTTATTCAACATTTGTATTATTGTACCGTGTAAATTGTAAAATTGTGCCATGCAAATACGTCGTCCTCGCGGTATAACAGTCCAGCAGTTAATGGTAGTTACTGGATTAGGTATTTTAGGAGGTGTATATATTTGGCAACCACTTATTGTTAAGTGGAAAAAAGAAAGAAGTGCTAACAAGGAAGAAACAACGGGAACAGTCACTGCCGCTCTCGCCACAGAAACTTCAGCAAAGTTAGTTTATTAAATAATAATAATTATTATTATTATTGTTAATTAAAATTGTTCCTTCAAAGGCTTTAATTGGTATATTTAAGTTTGTTAATATTGTACTTTTCCCATTTTTTATTTTCAGATGAGTTTAATTAAAAATTTGAAGCAATTTTCCACCTCAACAACTGGTCTTATGGCCATTGGAATATTTTCGACATTGATTATTAGTGTTAGTTATCGCGTATTTATGAAACCTGAATTTGAAAGGCGACGTCGCCAAGAGGCCGAAGCAATGGCAGATTATATTTTCCAACATGAACTACAACAAAGTAAATCATCATCCAGTGAACATCAAAGCTTTTAAATCAAAGACTTTGTATATTTACTTATCAATTACTACATACACAGTAAGATAAATTCTTTTTCTAAGGAATTTACATAAAATCTAGGGAAAAAATATTATTTCTAATTTAAACTTTTTTCTTCAACAATCAATCTCTGTCGTTCTATTGAAATTGTTCTTAAATTTCTTTTCATAATTTTTTATTTTTAACAAAACCATTATAAGAAAAACAAAACAATATAAATATAAACAAATAATAATAATAAAAGAAAAAACATCATAACTTTTTTGTATTACTGAAATTTTTAAGAAATGAATAATAAAACGAAAATTTTAATTTCAGTTTAATTGTTAACAAACTTGAAGTCTTTCAAAAGTATTGATTTGATTATTTAATTTTATTAAAAATGATTCTATACGATGTTTTTCTAGCATTATTTTTCTTCTTTTTTTTTTTTGTAAAATACAAAAGAGCCAATGAACATAATTTTTCTTTATTATTTTTATATTTGTTTAATAATTTAGATATTAATTTAATGATAAACAATGAATAAAAATGTATTATTGAATTTTGGTTTGAAATAAAATTTTAGCAAAAGGAATTAAACCATCAATATATTGTTTTATTTATCTTATTTTTTACGAACATATCGCTTATTAGGTTCTAAATGCTCATGATACAAAAATCGGGAGACATAGAAATCTCCATGATGTAAAAATATTTGTATATTTGTTGTACTTACTCAACAAAGTAATTTTTAATGACTACTAAATATCGTGTGCATAATTTTTAAATACTCTAATAAAAGGACCTTCAGTGTAGTGTCTTCTAAGTGGAGTTCTTAGCGATTTAAAAAGCGACGGAACTGATAGGTGGCTGGCTAACAATAAAGATTCAGTTCGAGTTGTTACCACTATAAAGGGACAAGACACATTTGTCACTATTATATGTTGATCTCCGAAATATGTATTCCGCGACTATATCAATAAGTACTGGAATAGTAAAATATATTGCAGAGTATCTAAGGCCTTTTGACCAATACTTGATGCGAAAGCTATTTGACTAGATAGATGTAGTCTTAGGACTCTGAAAGGAATTAAAATGGCATAAGGGCTTTTGTCAGTAAGTGGGACAATACTATGTCGGACTTCTGCAGGTTATGCGACGATAGAAGGTTTCAGGTTCAAATGCAGGGAAATTGGTTCTACCACGAATTGGTGGATATTATAAGGCTAAGGTGCATAAGGCTTACAAATAACAAATGAAATAAAGAAAAATAAATAAAATAAGTATTACAGGGTGCAATACACTAGTTTTTATAAGGGGAATTAGCAGTTTCTTCGACTAAAGTGTAGTGAGGATTCTGATCATCATATTTTTTCTTCTTTCACAACCTTAATCCATTTATTTTCAGGAACCAGGTTGAATCCCTTGAGGGTCAGTCTAGTTTCCTTTTCCGTTCACTCTGTTATCATAAATATTCCACATTCTTGATTTTTCACTTTCCTTGAAGGGAATCGCTATGGTCTCCAAGTGAAGTTGACCATTCTGGACCTAACCTAAGTACATACCAAAGAATAAGTAGTGTAAAGTAAGTATTTTTAATTAATTACTTTTCAATGTAATTTTTTGCTGGGGATCGAATGATCACTGAAACCCTTCCAGCAAAATCTTTACTTACCCGGTAAGTAGGCAAGTAGTATTGGAGCAAAGTGTAAGTACTTACTAGGGTGATCGATTATTCGACATTTTCCAAAAACCGGTTTTCGAATAGTTCGAATAGTTGACATTTCAAAAAAACCGGTTGATATTTTTCAAATTCAGAAAAAACCGGTTAACCGGTTTTTCATAATAAATAAAAAAATATATGTTAATTTGAAGAAATTAATGTTTATGATTAAATTTGATTAATAAAACATGGCCCGAAATGATTTTTAACAGTTTAACAGATTATAACTTTAGATCTAGTCGTCTGATTTACATTATTTCTTTAATATAAAAAAAAATTAGGAAAAAAGTGGACACTTCTGTTAAACATAAGGTACTATGTAATCCTAGCTTATTTTAAAGCCCTTTTAGGAAATTTTCATAGGCATTCCAACACTTCCATAATATTTCAGCGGTAAATTAATTATTGTAATTGGAATATAATCTTAAGATTAATAAAATTTTATTAAACAGTTATCAATTTTACAAATAAAATTTTTTAATTAATTAGGAAAATCAAAAAAGTTTAACCAATGGTGCTTTAGAAAAATATATCCTAGTTCCTGGACTCGAATATTTTTAAACGGGCTGTATTATTTACTTCAAAATTGCATTTAAATAATCTTTGAATACAAAGCAAATAAAAGTATTCGAAACCGGTTTTTAAAAAGTGAAAAAACCGGGTTATTCGATATTCGAAAAATCAACATTTAGAAAAAATCGACACTGGTAAAGCAGAAAAAACCGGTTGAAAAATCGAGTCGATCACCCTAGTACTTACATACTACTTATTTTTATTCGACGATGATCAAAAAATAACTGGTTACCTGGATTTATAACCGGCTTTACAGTTATTTGCAGTTTTTGTTAGTCCATTATCTTACTCAATGTTTCATTAACAAATTATTTTATCGTGCTATTTGGAATGGTTTTAACCGAAATATAAAAATCAATATTTTTTTCAAAAAACTTCTAATATAGAATAGTTAGAACCACTAATTCCTTATTAGACATACACTCTAGAAAATTGGCTGCAAATCTTATTGAAAAAATAATGTTATTTATAACGACTACTCATTACCAAGTAATGTATGAAATAACAACATTACTCATTACCAAAATTTTAAAAATATTTTACTGGGCTATAATAAATTTTATTAAGTGAAAGACATTACAGTTAAAATTATATTTTGCGTTCCATTTATTTATGTTCTTTTAATATACTTTTACGAATAAATTAAAATATGTGGCAAAATTTTGAATATTTAATACAACAATAGCAACAAATCTGAATTATTTGAATAATTTTTTATGAAATATATATTGTAAGTGACAATTAATTTTAAAAATTTACATTTTCGTACTAAATACAATACAATTTGAAAAAAATAGAAATTACAAGCTTAATTTATAAATAAACTGAAAAATGTACATGCTAATTTCATTATTAATCATATTCGTATTTTAGCATTTAATACGTATACTACAATTCATGGTTTTATGATTTGATATAAAAAAAGTTTCATTATTTTTTTTTCAATTTCTTGTATATTTAAAAATAACTATATATTTAGTATATTTATTTTATTGTTTTTTATTTATATTTCAACACTATGATTAGTTTTATTTGGTATTAAGGATTAACAATTTTTTACGTTTTTGTTTTATCTAAATATTTAAATTTTGTGTTAGCAAATAAATCTGCATACATTGAATTTTATATTTTAATTTATTAATATTATTAGTTTGTATATAGTTTTATTATAAGTTAGCTAGCACACGATTTTACTTAATATTTTAAATAAATTTGTTATTTGTTAAAAAAATTATATTATTATTTATGTAGTTTTAGTTATTTGGTATTTATTGTTTTTTATTTTGTTATTTGTATAAAAATTTATGTTTACCATTGTTCTATAAATTTTTACCATAAAACCCTAAAAGTCTAATACGTGTCGATACGGGACTTTGAACATGTTCCAGAATTTCCATCTTCAATGTTAAAGGGGCGAAAGAAAAGACAAAACAATTGTTTAAACTAGTTAAGTATTTGTTACATATTTCGCTATTAACAGGAGCTATTTTTTTTAGAGACACACAGTGTAAAAATATATTTGATAAAATTTTAGTATTCGTTTTCAGTAAATTATAGCCGTTTTTTATGTGTTATATGAAAAGCACTATTTTACAAGCTTTTAATACGAAATCCTTGTTTGTAAAAGAATTACAAAGTTTCCAAAACTAGAAAGACAGAGGTGTGTACCCTAATCTCCGTGGCGGACAATGCGAATGCGTCAAGTGTACAGCAAGTTACCTCAGCCTTTAAATATAGGTAAGGGTTCCGACTCTGAATCCTTCGATAATAATAACAACACCATCATAGTAAATTCCAAAAAGGATGAAATAGAGCAAATGGTGAAAGAGGTGAGCAATAGCAGAGCTAAACTACGTATTACTAAAAACGGCTTAATGGAGCACAGAGGAGGACGTTGAAAAAGATGCTTCTGTAAAACATAGCTAGATTAGGTTCGAACCTTGATATAGATGACAGGGAAAGGATGGTAAAACCACCCATTTGTCACTATAATAGGTTGATATTCGAAAGAATACGTGATATCATTAACCAGTCCTGGAATAGTAGATTGGATTGCAAAATATCAAAGGCCCTGTGGCCAAAACTTGATATGTGTGCTACCAAAATACTTATAGGACAGGTCAGACACAGTTTAAGGGTTCTGATAGGGATTCTAACTGGACACTGCTCAGTTAGAACCTTTGTCAGTAAGTGGGACAGTAGTGTACCGGACTATTTATCTGTATTTAATTATCTATTCATATAAACTCTCTACCATTTTCTTCAATTCTTGTGTTGTGGTAGCGTTTTGGCTTCTCTGTTTTGAATCTTCACTCTCTACCTATTTTCTTTCATTCTTGTGTTGTGGTAGTGTTTTGGCTTCTCTGTTTTGAATCTTCACTTCTTGAAAGGAATCACAATGGACCTTATGGTCTCCGAGTGGATATACACCGTTTTTACGGTGTATAACCCTTCTTAACCTAAACCTAACCTAAAAACATACGTGAGGAAATTCCACGACACCCCAAAGGAAATATCGGATTATCTCTTAATATCTGAGACAAAAAGCATCAGTTCCCCCTAGGAATTGTCAACTGAGAATACAGTCGAAGCCAAGCCATACTTCACTCAAATGAATCTCAATCCAGAATCCTGCGATTAAAGGTGATAACGTCAAGCAAGATATCCGGAAGACGAGCACGTCGGCGAAATCAATATCAAAGATAAGAGTGTCTCAGCTAAAATAGTTAAACTACCTATTACTAAAAAAACGTCTTTCTGGAGCACAGAGGTAGAAGTTGAAGAATATGCTTCAGGAAATCATAGTGAGTCATGACTCACGACACATCGTATTCTCTCTCAATATCTGGGACAAAAAGGATCAGGTCTCCCGAGGAGTTGTCAACTGAGAATACAGTCGAAGCCAAGTCATACATCAATAAAAGCAATCTCAAGTCAGAATCCTGAGATTAAGCAAGTCGGTGAAATCAATCTCAAAAGAAGACCCGACAAACGCGATGGCGGCCTGACAGACATGACTTACCTGTATAAATTATAAAATCAAGGCTAACCTATTTAAATAAATATTTCGTAAAAACTTGACAACTTTTTTCAATACAAAAGACGTTGGTAATAAATCAAAATAAAAAAATATTTTTAGTTGGTAAATAATATTAGTTTTTTTTATTAAAAAAATAAAAATTTACTGAAAACGAATACTTTTGTATTTATGTTATAAAATTTTCTAATTTTTCGGCTTAAGTTATCAAATATATTTTTAAAACGTGTTCTAGTTTAATAAAAATGTTTTTCTTTTATATATAAAAAAAACATAGAAAGCAAATTATAGAAATATAAAAATTGCACATATTTTGATAGAATTAGAAAAATGAAAATGAAGAATGTAGAATAAAAGAAAAACAAAGTAAAAGCATTTAATTTTTCATTTAGATTAAAACTCTATTAATTTTCATGATTTATTATTGAAATATATTTATTTTTTTTTTAAATGTGTACATTGATAAGTTTCTATTTAAGTGTTTTCATATTATTTACTTTAGACTTTTTATAACAAAATAGAATAAATAAAATATCACACCCAATTGTATTTTTAAGTATTCAATTCTCACTCTAATTGAACTTAATTAAACAATAATGTTTTTTTTTTAAAGCAACTTAGTTTAAATCACAATTTTTAGGAAATTTAAATTTTAAAATTAAATATAAATAAATAATAAAAAAAATAAACAAAAAATAAATTTTTTGTAAGAGATTCAAAAAAGTTATTTTAATTAAAACAACAAAAGATTCATTTTAAATTAAAAGGAACTTGTTAAAGCTACAAATGACAGGTGCGTAAAGGATTATCAATCTGAAAGAAAACAAGAATATAAATAAAAAATAAAGTGTTAAATAATGCTTTGAAACTTTCTAAAAATTAAATTACAAACAAATTATAAAACAAAAAATTTAGTGTACAATTGAACATAATACTTACTTTAATTAATTAAAAATGACCAATATAGGATAAAAAAATTTCCAAAACTAGCTTTTAAGCATCTACTTTATGTTAGATAATTTATTAATGTTTAGTTCAGTTTTCTTTCAGAAGCATATAGAAAATATTTACAAACAAAAAATGAATATTATTCAAATATATTTTGTTAAAATTTAATGTCTTCAGTTTAAAAATTAGTTGAATCACTGTACGATATAAGTTTCACTGTACGATATAAGTATCACTGTACGATATAACTATGAGGAAGTGGGTATATAGCGGTATTTCCACCACAGGGTGAAAAGAAATCAGAAAGTGTGTGATTTCACAAGAAATATTTGTATTTTCCTATGTTGTTATATTGAACCCTGCTTCAGGTTAATGCCGTGGCCGTATGATTCTCTCGATTATGTTTTAATTAAGGCTAACTTTCCCAAGACTAAGAGCGCGCCTGACCATGTGTTTCAATAAATTCAAAGCAGATCTTAAAAGGACATGGACAATGTCAAAAACTCGGGGTTCATCCAAACGATAGCTCATGAACTGAGTCTATCTCTGATACTTTAACCTCACTTATGTAAACACAGATATGGATAATTATCAGTGGGACTTCTTCTCGGTGCCATCGATTAATGCACATTTCCGAATACATTAAAGAAATAGTCAGAAGCCCAAACTAAGGGGTAATATATAAAACGACGCAATATTGCTGTCTGGCATTATCAAGTCCTTTAAGAGTAAAATTGACTGGCTAAAATGACACATAAGTATCTTATTGAATTTGACAGTAGTCGGCTCATTGCTCAATTTGAAATGCTTCTAGTAAGTGGTACAATACCATACCGAAATTCAGTAGGTTATGAGAAGATGTTAAGGTGCTAAATACCATTGAGCATATAACTTCTAGGAAATAGCATCTGTACTGTGGAGCACATAGCTTCCGAACCTACCCTGACTGATCATAGATTAAATCTATCAGAGGTTGTTATCCAAAAGAATGATTCCTTGATTCGTGCGACAAACTGGTTTGTCGTCTCTCTTTTTTCAGGGAATCAAAGGCATCAATGTATTGGACCCAAGTGTGTCCCCTGTGATGAGATCACGAGGAAAACCTGCTAACCTAAGTCTTTCACGTATATGAGACACCGGTGTCCCAAGTTTTTTTTTTTTTATTTGTTTATATTTAGAGCTTAATTCTGAGTTCAAAGCAAAAGTGCGTTTTTTTTTTAAGGAAACCTAAGTCCTTTTTAAAATTTATGGCCCTACATGCTAAAAAGTATAATACCCTGCGAAAACACTACAATTTTTATCAAAAAACAGCAAAATAAGGTGTGTGTAGTGCACACATATGCACAAAAAGTCCAGTGATTTAGATTTGCTAAACAAACCCATGATCTCGTGAAATATTTTCGAAATTTAAGTATGTAATCGAAATTTTAAGTAAATTAAATATTGGTCACTTTTAATTTAAATATTGATAAAAATAAAATACCTTTACACTAACATATTTATCTGAATTGAATTATGAAAACAGATAATTCCACATTTTGGAAAATTTTCACTGGTTTCTGTTCTTTAACTCAGTTAATGTAAAGGCAACTTTAGAAAAACTTAGAAAATCATGCAAATTTATAAAAAAAAGTCTAAACTAAGTAATATACATAACAATAAAGTATAATAAAAAAACGTTTAAAGATTTGAAAAAATTGTGTCATGTTTATGTAATTATGCGTGTTTAAGAATAAGTATAATCGGAAAATATTCCAAATAAATGTACTAGTAATAGTAACTTAATGTCAAAACATCTGAAAAATGAGTGTGAAAGACAATAAGTAGAGCAGTTAACAAAAAACCAACCTTTTCTTTTACTAGTTTGTGAAACTTTATTGTTTGTATCATTTTGTTTGTTTAACAATCCTTTGATTTCAATGTATCTTTTGTCTTAATTTAATTCTTCTTACATTTTTTTACATAAAATTATTTGTTACCACAGTAAGATCGGCAATTATTTGATTAGTTTCATTCAATATATTTGACTTTAATATCATAAATAAAACATTGTTTTTCGAGTTGGAGTTTTGAAATTGAAAATGTAAATAGTCAAAAAGTAATTTTGTAGTTGTTATTGTTTAGTTTTATAGTTTGTTATTTGTGATTTAAGTAGTTTAGTTTAATGGTTAGTAAGTTTTTTATTTTATTTTAATTCAGAACAAATCCACCAAAAATTAGAACGAGATTTAGAGAACCAAATGAAATTTTTATAGAAAAGAAGAAGAAAAAAAATTAAACATTTGTTTATTATAATTTTTATTTTTAAAATTTCAAAGGTTTCATATAAGTTAATTTATAAATTTTGATCACAAGAGCATGCAAAAATATGAATAAAATAATATATATTTAAAATAAATACCTACATCTTACGTACATACATATTTACAAGTTTTGTTTCTTTTTTTTAATTTGTTAATTGTTAACTACATTGTTTAGTTATATATTAACTAAAAATAAATGAAAAGAAAATGACAAAATTTATTTAGATAGAAATAAATACAAAAAGAAATTATGTATAAATTAAACAAAATATTAAATAAGATTAATAAATAGAAGTTAGATAGGTGTGACCGATTTGAAATTAAGTTTTTAATATAAAGAAAAAGTTAAACATATTAGACAAAGCTTTTAAAAGAAAATAAGAAATAATTTTAATTTACAAGCCATTCATAGAAAGCCAATTTGTTACCAATTGTTAACAGTTATAGAGTTGTAGACAAAGATTTGTTTAGTAGTTTTAGATAGTTATATAAAGTTTTTAGTTATTTTTTTTGTTCTTATTCAGAAGACTGTAATTTGGTATAATGTTTAATATTAAAAGGTGTTATTGTTCATTTAATTGTTTTAATTAATAGAATGATTTTAAATAATAGAATGACTAGTAGAGTTGTAGTAGTACAACATGTGTTTTGTTTTTAGATCATTCACAATTTTTGTATCTAGCAAGAGTACTACGATTATCTGCCGTAAATAAGATACTTACGCGATTAATCGAGTTACGGCGAGGATCACCTGTCGCGCCAGTAACTGAGCCTCCACCACTTCCGCTACGACTACGACCTATATCATTGTCGTCTATGCAAATATCAGAATCTGAATCGGTACGCCTTAACCCACCATCCTAATGTAATATGTAAGCACCATAATGAAGTATTTACAAGGTCGCATGAAGAATTTAATATGTGAGTAATAATTGTAAAGAAACGCTATAATAATTACCTGTGTCAACTGTTCGGTGGTTGTTAAAAGTCGTGCCACAGGGTTACAACACACAGGCAAGGTCTCCAATAAAGTTGGCCTTGAATGTGTTAACAATGGTTTCATATATCTAAAATAATAGAAACAATTAAGTAATATACAGATTATATGGAGCATGATTTTTGCCATTTTAAGAGAACTATAACATTTTTAATAAAAGCAGTTCGAACTTGGCTTAAATTAAAAACGCATTTTGGAATATATTTGTTGTAATTTGTTTATATAATTCGAGAGCATTATGTGTAAGTTTATTTTAATTTTTAATTCGCTAAAGTAAGTACTCATTAAACGGTGAATTTCACGGTTGGCAAAATTGATACAATTGTACTATTTTTGGGACAATTCGATCTTCAGAAGTGCAATGGTACACCCATTGTGTAAAATTTAATATTATACAAAATTCCCCTACTGAATAAAAATTGTACTTTTAACACAAAGTTCAAAGAACTACCGATTTCTGTAAAATGTTTACTAAACTTCAGAAGATACTTCAATTATTGCTTATATTCTCTCATATTCTAATAATCCTGGAAGAGATTACAACCAGACAAGCAGTAATAGATATACTAATATTATCTAGTCTAATCGTTTATAGTCTAGTTTATATACTAGTCTGCTGTCTAGTCTATAGAATAGCCTATTGGATATCAATGGACTCGTTTATTGATACATACATAAATTGATTAGTTTACTGACTGAAGATTTCGGCTTTTGTTTTATATTTATATAAATTTGCAAAATTTATAATGGATAATTCCATTTTCCATTTCTTCCCTGAAACCATTGTATTTTTATATTGTTTTCTTTAATTATATGAGCGCATTAATGATAGTTAAATTAATACTATAAATTTGACTACTTACTTTGTATCAAAGTTACCCCACAGTCTGGCAAGAATGGCTTTTTCATTACGTCTACCATTACTACCAATTCCATTGCCCGCAGCGGCATTATTTTCCAAATCACCACAATCCTGTAAATAACCATCAGACTATTTTTAAATATTATGTTGATTCTACACTTAAAATATACCATTAAAAATATAACAAAATAACAACAAATATAGGAATAGTACTAATCTAGTCAAATATTGTCTGCAATAAAATGTGGCTGTGTTATAAACAAAACATAAAACAAATACTTAGTTATATAATAAAATTTGAAAAATATGTAATTATCCGCTTTATCTCAATATCTAGATATTATTTATTACAACACTATATAGCTAGTTAAATTATTTATTTAAGGCCTTATTCATTAACAACATTTTATTCTAAAAACGGTTTATAAATAAAATTTTGCATAAAATTTTTGTTTTATAAACCTTTTATAAAATAAAATCTTGTTTCTGATTAAGAGGTAAGAATTCGGTCAGTATATCGTTGTGATAAAATATCCAGTTATTGAAAATAATTAAAATGGAGTTAAGAGATCATTTTGAAGAGAAAAACAATATGTATGTAGATATTTGTGTTTCTTCTTACAAAATGATCCATTTGAATATTTTCATTCACAATTTGTGTTCAATGTAAATCTTGTTTTTAAAAAATACAACAACTCTGTTTGTCTAAATGATGAAAATGATTTTTAGAATGAATACATGATGGCTTTTATTATTAGTATTGATTTCTAATAACACTGTGCGACAAAAATAACTATGCACTGATTTGATTTTTTTGGTAGGTGCTGTACAGTATATTGATCAAATTTGTCAAAAGCCTTCAAAACTTACTTATTTATAACTTTATTCAAAAGACCCGTTCAAATTTTTTTGAAATTCACAGTATAACTAAAACGAAATCTGTTTGTTGAAGAAATATTTATACATTTCTCAACATTTCTTTAAAGTCTATGTACATTTCTAAAGGTCTCAATTCATTGGTCAATTTCTCATTAAAACAGATGATTTGCAAGTTTCTTAAAGATTTGGAAGTGGAATGTAATATAAAAACATTTCTCGACACTGCTCCTTATTTGCAGAAGTTGAAGGGATGGAATGCAAGTGAGCAGCCTCGGAATTTCCAGTGCGTGGAAAAATATCATTAAAGCAGAAAAAGTCTGATCATTAAAGCAGAAAAAGTCAATCTTACAATCTTCTTGTTACTTGATGTGAAGACTCTCGAGTATATTCTCATCCCCGGTTGCGCCACCTTCACAGCAGCTCGTTCATAGAGTATAGAGATAAACTGGGAGTCTTATTGGCGACTCAAATTCTCCAATTAAATCGTCGAAGTCAATGTCTCTTGAGGATTTTCTTATCTCTCAGCTATCATCTTCCATCATGAAATTCCTCGGACTATCATAGAATTAATATAGCATTAAAACTCATACCTCATTGTTTAAATCAACTTATGAATGAGCGATCCTAGTTGCGCCAGACATATCGAAATAATTTCACACTATAAGCTATCACTTCCAGAATATCCTAAAGTCCATAATGCCCAACAATACAAAAAAAGGATTGTGAACAAAATCAATGCGTCTAACCTACAGTTTACAACAACCAAGATTGCGAAGTAGGAAAAAGGCTTCCAAAGCGCTAACTGGGAACACTTGGGCATGGATTAAGACACGGTCACTAAACGAATGTACAAGAAAGGAGAGATACTGCCACATTCCGCATAGCTTTTAAAGTACTTATGAGTCATAATCAGACAATCAATTAGGAAAAATTTAAACTTGCCGAACTTGTTGCCGAATTGTGCAATAATTATTAAAATGTTAACAAACTAATTTTGAACAAAATTGAGTTATTCCAATAAGGAAAGATGACTTCTTTTATACCAACTAAAGAACCCTAGCTGTCTGTAAATGTACCCAGCAAAAAATAATTGATGTCATACTTTACAAACTACATCTTAATCACATCTTAAAATGCGATTACATATTTTTCACTTTTATAAACCAAATATTTCCTTACAAATGAAACCCCAGTTAAAAGTGAGGAAAGAGATGTGGAAAAGTCATTACAAATAACATATTTGAAGTACATCAAGATTTGGTGAAAGAGTAGTGAAATTTACATAAGCGTGTCATTAAGAGAATGTGTTTTATTTTTGACATCCAAATATCGGATTTTTACTGCTTCTAAAAATAAGATTAGATGTAGTTCAAAGTTGCCAAAAATGAACAACATCCCTCCAATGACACGCAAATGTAAAATTCATAGGTTTTACACCCGAATTTGAAGCACTTCGGAAGCACTTACTAGTTGTGATGAAAATTCTACATCTTTTTCCACACTTTTTTGCTGGGGTGTCATTGGATGTTGTTCAATTTTGACAACTTTGAACTACATCTAATCTTATTTTTAGAAGCAGTAAAAATTCGATATTTAAATGTTAAAAATAAACCACATTCTTTCAATGACATGTTTATATAAATTTCATTGTTTTTTCAGCAAAGTTTGATGTATTTCGAATAAGTTATTTGTAGTGACTTTTCTACATATCTTTCCTCACTTTTAACTGGGCTTTTATTTGTAAGGAAATATTTCCCAACAAAAACTAACCTAAGTCATACTTTACAAACGACATCTTATTCACATCTAAAAATGCGATAACATATTTTTCGCTTTTAGAAACCAAAAATTTCCTCACAAGTAATAACCCAGTTAAAAATGGGGAAATGAAATTTACATAAGCCTGTCATTAAAAGAATGTGGTTTATTTTTAACATCCAATTATCGTATTTTTACTGCTTCTAATAATAAGATTAGATCCAGTTCATAGATGTCAAAAATGAACAACATCCCTCCAATGACACGCTAATGTAAAATTCATAGGTTTTTCACCCGAATTTGAATCACTTCGGGTTACTAGTTGTGGTGAAAATACTACATCTTTTTCCACACTTTTTTTGCTGGGTATGTAAAAGTGTGCTAAAAATTATAAATAAAGTATTTTACACATAAATTGAAAAATGATGATAATATTTACACATACCGCGTTTGTTGTATTTTCCATTGAATTGTAAACCTTTTTATTGGTAATTTTTGCATACAAAAATGTTGAAAAAATATTGAAAAAAAGGAAAGCAATTTTGTTTTAAATATATAAAGAAACAAATGTTGAAAAATTTGAATGCAAATTATATATTGAGAGCCTATATTCAATGCATGCAAATGTAGTTTTGGTTAAAATGTGTTTTTTTTTTATAAAGTAGCGTTTTCTGAACTACTGTTTTGTAATTTTATTACAGTTTTTTTAATATAATGGTGATATTATATTAAAAAAACTGTTCTATTTATTTTTTATGTTCGATTCACAGTTCTCAGAAATAATAATATATGGGCTCTCAATATCATATACAAGTTAAGCAAATGATAAAAATAATAAAAAAAGCTTGCAAATGTATTGAGAAAACTGTACAAAACATAAATTGTCACTATTAAATATAAGAAAAACAAAGAAAGTCTACTCTATGATCATAGAATAAATATGTATTTAAAGTAATTAAACAGAAAAATACTCACACTGTGAATCTGATAATTATTTAATTGTTCAGTCTCTTCATCAACACCCACACTAAAATATAAATGAGATTTAATTATTATTAACATTTATTAAGAGATGAGAAACATTTAAATACTCACGGTATCTTGAGCCAGCTCAATAGAAAATTTGATGCACCACCCTGTATAACAACAGTAAATATAACAATTAAAGATGTTGCAGTCAACATTGTTTGACGAGCCTCTGATATGGTATTACGTATAGCTAAGGCAAATGACATTGCACCTCGCAAACCTAAAGAATTTCAAGCAATATAAACAAAATTTCCGCTAAATAAGAATTGCTATTTACTAACCAGCAAAAAATAGCATGTGTTGGAAATTTGAAGAAATTTTTGGGTTTCTATTTAAATTTAACAGCCATGATAAGGGATAAATATTAACAGCACGTCCGATAGCTGCACATATCTATATTTTGTAGATGAAAATATATTCAAACAATACTATATTTTACAGTAAGGCTAACGTTACTTACAAAACCAGTTATTATGAATACAGCATCAAAATGATGTTTCGGGAAGGTGAACATAGAAACACCAATATATGAAAATATGAAATTCTCTGCTAAAAAATTTAATAGCTCAAAAATTTCTTTGGTTCTTGTGCGAGAATTTTCCGACAAATTATTATAGGTGTAATGCGCCTGACAAATGCCACAGAATAATACTGCTACCACACCAGTTAATTCAGAAGCTTCAGCTATAAGAAAGGTACTGTAGGACATCAAAACAAATAGCGCCGATTCTAGTAGAGGAAAATCTCGAACTCGAGTAAATTTAGTCAAGTGTGAAACAAGTTAAGGAATAGCATATGTATGTACAAATAACTTAATAATATAACGTTTCTATAATATGATTCATAATGTGAGTTGTCAGTAGTAGTGGAATGATAGTATAATATCTGAAATTATCTTGAAACTAAAAAAATAGTTGTATTTCATATGTTCTTATATCTTTGTATAGTATTATTAGTGTAATCACGGTAAATTATATTAAAAGTTTAAAAAAGGATATCAATGCTGTAAAGCAGCCCATTAAAGCTCCAATTAATAATGATAACATGAATATACCAAAGAAATCGCTTAACGCTCGGAAGAAGGCATACGTCTCGAACTCCCCAGTGCTTGAATAGTGCTCTCCATAATTTTGTATTGCTCTAAAAAGATAAATACAATTTCAATATGTTTAAATATTTCGACAAAATTAAGATATAAATATTCGTAGTTTTTCATTTAGTATTATTAAACTTACCCACTTAATACAATCGCCACCGCATCATTTAAAACAGATTCACCAAAAACCAGCGCATAAAGATTAACATCAACATGTAGATCATGAAAAATGGCTAGTATTGTTAGTGGATCTGTTGGCGAAATCAACGCTCCGAAATACAGTGTGTCCAGAAATGTAAAACTGCTGCTCAGATATGATGGCATCAGTTTCACACAACCGTACATAATGGCACCGATTAGGAACGCTGATAATGTTGTGCCTAATATAGCAAATGTTAAAATAGCGCCAAGATTACGAAAAAAATATTTCTAAAAAAAATAAAAATATATTAATATGAATTTATCAAAAAATATGTATGTATTTATATTAGAATGCCACGATTTTCGTACAAAAATATATTTTTTGTCAAAATGGGAAGTGATGGTTATAATTTAATACAAAGGATAATCGCATCGAAAGGGAGCCATTCATGGCGTTTTTTAGAAGAAAAATATTCAGTTGAGTTAAAAGAAAACTTCCAAATTTCGATTTAGCGATAATGAGCAAAATTCCGGAATTATTTATATTATAGATTAGATTTCTAAATATATTTTTGATACTAATGAGGCAAAGTGTCAAAAAAAGTATTCTGGAGTTATTTCGTTCGAAATACATACATACTGTCTAAGAAAAAACTATGTGTTCGAGATATATCGGAAAATATGTTTAAAAATATGAGGTTTTTCATAAAACTTTAATAAAAAACTTATCTCTCTTACTTTTTTAAAATAGTTTTAAAATTTTGCGAGGCACTCTAATGTATTTGCATTACCTTTTTTAAACTGTAGCCTGCGTGAAATATAATAGGTGGTAAAATTATATTGAAAAATATTTCTGGATCAAATGTTGCTTTTAAATCGATTTCATTCTCAACTACATCATAAACTTGACTTCGGAAAGTATACGCATACGTTTTATTTTCTAATGGTTCGCTATTATTTGGTGGTGTTAATTTGCCAGGAAACTGTTAAAAATAAAGTCATTATTTATGCGAAAAGAGCCGAGTATAAAAAAACTCACTTGTAACCAGAGCGTATCTGGGGGTAATGTTTGATTGAATTTCGAATTTGGATCGGGTTCAACTTCCAAATGTACAAGTGGTTTTGATGAAGCTGAATATCGTATTGCAGCACCCACAATTAAACCTGAAAAATAAATTTGTTACGAATTATTTGTTTAAGGATTATAAAAAACACTTTTAAAAAATTGCAACAAAAATATTTGCTACTAAAATATACAAGTAAATTTGCAGTTATCTATCGTAACAAATGTGGCAATATCAATATCAAGAAACGCTAATTCTAAAAGCTGTGAAAACCGCTATAGTTGAGAAAGGAAGCCGTTAAGTTGGAAAGAAATTGTAAATAACATGGTAAAAATATCAGATGAGAGGTTGTCATTGAAGTGGGAAGGGTTAACAGAGGACGCCACAGGGTGTGTTTTATCGCCTCTATTGTGGCTAATAGCTGTATTATAACTGTATTATTAAATGCTAACTGTATTACATTGCTATTTGAATCTAAAGGTAGAAAAATCGTTCCCTTTACGAAAAAGTGGTGTCGAAAAATTCTTTCCACGACTAGTGGCATCATGTAGGCTGCACTAGGTGAACTCCTGATATGGGCTAACTAACGCTGAACTAATATTATTTAGAGAAGCTACGTATTTGGAGATTTTCCTTGATAGAAGGCTTTAATGGAAAGAAAATGTTCAAGGAAGAATGAAAAAGGGACTTAATGCCGGCTACACATTAGGGTGATCGACTCGATTTTTCAACCGGTTTTAAAACCGGTTTTTTCTGCTTTACCAGTGTCGGTTTTTTCTTTATGTTGATTTTTCGAATATCGAATAACCCGGTTTTTTCACTTTTTAAAAACCGGTTTCGAATACTTTTATTTGCTTTGTATTCAAAAATTATTTAAATGAAATTTTTAAGTAAATAATAATACAGCCCGTCTAAATTTTAAAAATATTCGAGTCGAGGAACTAGCGTATATTTTTCTACAGCTCCTTTGGTTAAACTTTTTTGATTTTCCTAATTAATTAAAAAAAAATTATTTGTAAAATTGATAACTGTTTGATAAAATTTTATCAATCTTAAGATTACATTCTAATTACCATAATTAATTTACGGCTGAAATTTTATGGAAGTGTTGGAATGTCTATGCAAATTTCCTAAACAGGGCTTTTAAAATAAGCTAGGATTACATAGTACCTTATGTTTAACAGAAGTGTCCACTTTTTTCCTAATTTTTTTATATTAAAGAAATAATGTAAATCAGCCGACTAGATCTAAAGTTATAATCTTTTAAACTGTTAAAAATCATTTCGGGCCATGTTTTATTAATCAAATTTAAACATAAACATTAAGTATTTCAAATTAAAATATATTTTTTTATTTACAATGAAAAACCGGTTAACCGGTTTTTTCTGAATTTGAAAAATATCAACCGGTTTTTTTTAAATATCAACTATTCGAACTATTCGAAAACCGGTTTTTGGAAAATGTCGAATAATCGATCACCCTACTACACATACAATGAAAGAATTGAGGTCTGAAACCAGATATGGTAAATTAAATTTACATATCGGTTGTCAGGCCTATTCTTACTTATAGTTGTATTGTCTGGTGGGAGTTTTGAGAAAGAACAGTTATGGAAAGATGCTCAATGAAGGCCATTAGTAGCACTCCACAAGTGGCTTTGAACATCATTCTTTACTTGTCACCTATAGAATATTTTGTAGCAGGTGTGGCGGCTAGACATTTTTACTAAGACTCTATGTCCTTGTTAGTCAAACAATTGCAACAATCACACGAATATTCTGTACGAAGTAAGTCAACTTGATCATGCTTACTCCCCTTGTGCCTGATACCGATATAAAAAGGTGCTTTAGATTTACTGATGAATATAGTGTCTTTCAAGCAGAGATCCCAGCGTTCCCCCATCTGGAAAGCGACGGAATTGTTACGGATATTGCAGCAACAACTACTACGGAGTCATATTGATCTAGGGTTAGTCATGTGATTAGGGCCTTTGTCAGTAAGTGGGACAATAATATAGGAACTAGAGATGATTGCGCATATAATTTGTCACTGTCCCATAATACAGAATCTCAGGTTGAAATGGCTGTGTAAAAGTCCCATGAGAAAGGCGGGAAAGTACGGAACTCAACCCTCGCAGTATACTAGGTTTTATCAGGGGAATTAGTAATTTCTTCGACTGGGTTTTATAGGGAGATTCAGGTTCTCTTAGTTTTGATTTTTTTTGGAATATTGATTCGGTGAAACTTCTAGGTTGAAACTCCTTAAGAATCGACCTAGTTCCTTTACTCTCTCTTCCTTATTTAAATTATTTTTGTTTTTCTATCTATCTTTGGATCCTAACTTTCTTTGAAGCAAATCACAATAGACTTTACGGTCTCCGAGTGGAGTTGCACTATTTTATTGTGCATAAGCCTTCCTAATTTAAATCTTAGGGTTTAAATAACATGCAACAATTTACAATTTGTTAATAAATCAAGACCAAAAAAGCTTTATATAAATAGTTAGATTAAAATGTTTATATCTTCAGATCATGGCATAATCGACTCAATATATTTATGACATTATATTTGGGTGTTTACTACTATTGTGGTGTGGTGGAGGGTGCTGACTACAGTTAAAATAATCACATCAAAATATCTCAAAGTGGACAGTTTTAAAAGAAATAAGTTCACTTTTGTTTACAATCCTTGTTATAGATTTTTGCATGTAGTATATTTTAAAAAATATTTATGACAAACAACGATACGACACGATTGTGAAATGGACATTTGGATATGTATATAAGCAGTTCTATTTAAATAAAGAATTATTACTAAAAAGATAATAAAAAACCTGTAATGCAAAAATTAAATTCATCATTTTAATACCTATAAGGTAAATTACGACTTAAATTTTTTTCATAAGAAACAATTCTAAATTTCAATTAAATCCAATTGGGAATTCCCCTTTACAAACAGCTATTCAACAGGTAAATTGCAAAATGAAACAAATTGGACGCAACAAAAAAGTGCTATTAATAAATTGATTTGATACAATACTAATGCAGGAAAAGTCACTTTAATCACAATTCACATTGTGGTAGTGCTTAAAAGGTGATAACAACTAATACTGTGTCTACATACATAAATATGTATGTTTGCGGGTAAAACCCGAAGGGTGGGTTACTTATGTATGTCTATATAAACCAAACTTTTACAATAGTTTTTAAATAATACTTACCATATATCACAGCGAGGCCAGTCTCATGTAACCATGAGACACGATGATGCTTAAACAACCATATTGTCAATACAGTCAAGGTCAGCAGGAAGGTGTAGACAAGAAGGTTAAGGCTGTCAATGCGATGCGTTAACGTCGCCTTCGCGTCAAGCGCGATGTCTGTAGCAGTTGCATCACAGCAACTGGTACCAAAAATCAAAACAAGTATTACTGAATCCACCAAAATTGACCGGCTAGAAATCCGGGTGATAAATTGATTAATAACATTTTTATTAATTTTTAGCCAGTGGAACACCATCTGTAGCTAATTTTGACTGGGCACAAATGAAATTCAACGTTATTTAAATTTCTTTTCTATTATATTCGTTTTACACAGGCACAATAATTGTAATAATCGATAATTATTTTTGTTTGTATTTTCTTTGTAAAAATATGTTTTCTCTTTTTCGTTCTAACAAACAATAATATATGTATATTTTTAATCTAATTTACATTCAATTCATTTTTGTGTTTAATAATATGATTCACGAATGACAAAATATTTTAAAATATTAACTTTTTATTATTATTTCACAATTTTCTACGATGTAATTTGTTTGTTCTTTTGTTTTCCACAACTTCCACAATATTTACGATTCATTTGTTGTTTTTCGACTGGCAAGCAGATACCTTTGTCCAACAAAACTAAGGGTTGCGGCGTATGACAATAAACATTTTGGCGTCGGCTTTAAATCGACTAAGATTATTTTAATTTTTGGAACGGTATTTATAAATTTTTAAAGTATGTATGTCTGTGTTATGCATTAATTAAACTGTAATACGAATAAAAAATGGTGAAAAATGTTTTTGCCATCTTAAGTTGAACAAATTTTGTAGCGTTGACTTTAAATTTTATCGGCGGCTAGTCTTAGTCAACTTCAGCAGAAGTGGCGGAGGTCTCTGTTTCTTCTTCACATGTCTAAATTCAAATCTTAAATCACTGCAAGTTAATATCACTATAACTGTGTAATATCGGCCGAAAAGTAATTACATATTTTTTTAATTTAAAAACGTTACTATGGAACCACATACATATATCCTTATCCTCCATGTAGGGCACTTTCAGAGAACCAGATTGACGTCCATAATTAATTTAAAAAGGAATCACATGGACATAAATATGGTATAAATGTCATACTCATGTTATATTGTTATATGTAGAAACTCAGTTCTCTACATGAAGTTCCTTAGAATTTTCCAATCAATGTTCTTGAAGGATGTAATTTATTGAATAATATCGCTTTCTTGTGATTTGGATCTAATTTCGTCGAAAGCACGACAAAAAAGTGTTCATGAGTTTCACTGTTCTCTCCACATGTGTCCTTAGACGGTAGAGTATTTAATAATTCAATTCGAAACGATTTTTTTAATAACGGTTATTGTATGCCTTTTTAAATTTAAAATAATCTGAGGAAAACTTAGCCGGCTTACAGACAATTTGCAAACGCCGTCGATATTTTTAGTGAATAACGCAGTAGCTTTTGATCCGCGCAGGTCTCTGAGCTAGCAGGGAAATGTCAGAAATAATGAACTGTCAGTGCAAGTTTCTTTTGTTCCCTTGAAAATAGAAAATTAATAATTTGATGAAATTTCGTTTACAATTCTCAACAAAATTTTGCCACAAATAAAATTGAGCACAGCTAAAATTAAAAAGCGACCACCAAATATAGCCAAAAGAGAGAGTGAATTCGGGTAAATAAATTGTAAAAACGAAAACAAAGTATTAGCTGCAGTAATCATGGCCAACATAACGGTTGGACAAATTATTATGGATGCACAAAGAATGGCTAGTCGTGTCAAAGAATTAGACGCCCTAAGCAGTGCACTTCTAGAAGAGGCCGAAGGTAATAATCGTTTTGTTGAAAGTCTTCGACAGTTTCAAGACGACATGGACTCATTAAATCGAATTGCCAATAATAAGTCCAACGTCGATATGGTCAATCGCATACAGCAACAAAATGCCAATAGTTCAGAAATTCTAAAAGAGAATCGTGAGCTAAAAGTCTGCATCGAAGACTACGAGCGAGCCATGGAACTGATAATGCAAAAATATAGAGAACATACTAATAGCAAAGTTCTGGAAAGCAAACTTAACTTCAAGGAGGTTTACAACGATAAACTGTGGAAAATCATACGTGAACAAAGGGAGAAAATCAATGAAATGGCAGCCGTAATGCAGAGGGCGGCCAACATAGATGATGAACATGACATCAATGTAATAACGCGTTTACGTTTGGAGAACCAAACTTTACGTGAATTGTTACAGATATCCAAGCAGTTTGGTTCATACAATCGACCAATACGTTTCAATGACCATTTGCTGGAAGAGAAAGGCGTACAAACTGATTTATCTGCTGACGATTCGGCCGATGAGCTTTCTCTTTCGGGAGCTTCCATTGAAAATGCCAACAATAATTCTGTTATTCAACTCAATATAAGCTCTACATCATCAACATGCACAGCAGGTCAACCAATAACAGATAATGCTAACTCGGTTGCCTCTCACAGTGGACTTGTTGGTGATAACAACAATGTGGTTGCTGTAGCACCACCATCAGCTTCACCTGCCACTGATAAAATTAGTTCTACTGCCTCCTCTTTGACTGCAACAGCTGGAAGTGCCGCAGCAGCAGCAGTAGATGAGAGCAATTTGGTGACTTCAACAACAGTTGATTACAATAATTTAAATGCTTCTGCTGGTATAGAAGCAACTACCAACAATACCACCGCTAACATTGCAGCAGCAGCTGCAACAAGTAATTTAAATGCATCTCCAACAAATATGAATGTCAATTCAACTGCCAGTGCAACATGATATTATTGTATAGCATCAAGTTAAGAAGCATTGTCCATCGATCCAAAAAAACGCATTATCGTTTTTTTTATTTTATTAATGTTTAATTCAATTCTAATCAAGCAATGTAACAATTTCACTTTCAATTTATTTACATATAGATTTTTATATTATAATTTATTAAATGGAGAAACATTATAAGTTAATTTCTAATAGATTAGAAGGAACTCTATTTTATATATCTAATCACACTCACACACCACACACAAAGAAACACTTATGCTTAAAACCAATATTTTTGTAGCGCTCTAATTATAATCACAACTAAAAATCTATGATTCAATCAATCTAACAATCATACATTCATTCATTCACTAACTCACTCACTACTTACCTAAAATTAAACATCCTTCTAACAATCAATTTTCTAACAAAGATATGTAATTTTTGTTTAAAATAAAATATATAATAATAATTTAATATTTAGATAGCACTTGATACACATGCCAACATAGTTAACTTAAAAAAGGCAGATGGACCGACATTTACAGACAGACACGGATGGTTATAATAAATTATATAAATATTAAATTATCTTTATTAATGATCCAAAAAAACGAAAATGTAAACATAAAACCAAAATATACTTATTTATTTAATCTGGTACTATACATAAAATTAAACAAAAGAAAACTTGAAATAATGATAAAATGAAAGAAAATTTATACCAATTTTATATAATTGGAAAATTAATTAATTTCTTTCAACTAGGTCACAATTATTAATTTGTATTTAAAATAAAAAAACAATTATTACAAAAAACACTTGCATACATACAAAATATACTTACTATACTCATTCATACATAATTATACACGAAATATATAAAATCACATCTAAGCCCCAAAACACAATATGTAGAAATAATTTCCTCCATCAAGATTTCAATAAAACTAATTTAAATAAATAAATTGATATAATCAATATTAAAAGATTTGGTACTTAATAAGTTTATTTAAGAATTTAAGTGCGAATGGTAGGTAGTATATTTCGGAAAACAGAAGTAGAAACGTTTTTACAAATGAGTCAAAAGTGGCGCTTAATTGACATTTTGAAATTAACTTCTTATATTAGTTATTGTTATAAATAACAGTTCGACTGTGGTCGATAGTTCTTTCCTGGGTAATTTTCTTTTTGGGTTGATACAGCTGTCGCTGGGATGACAATTTATGGTCGAGTAATATTCGGGTCGTTCCGAAGAGAAGATCCAATTATCGTGGGAACGCGAAGATAAAATTCTTCATCACTGTGCAAAATTTTAAATATCATACAAAATATCTCTAGTGAGCTGATAAAGTTAGCAGAGTATTGCAATTTTTATTTAAATTAATTAAAATTTAAATTTAGTGAAAAAGCGTGCATAGTTTTTAAATTTCACGTTTATAAAAGGTCAATAACTAAAACTTGTTACGAACTGATATACAAATATAGTTTATTCAATATTAAAAAGACCTAAAGCAGTTAATCTGAAAATTATATTTTCTCTTGAATTCGAAACAGTTTAGTCCATATAATTTACTCAAGTCCCCATTTAAGATCCTATTTCAAAAATCGCCCTGGTGTTCATATTTTCAGTTTGACTTGTTTTTAAATGTTATTTTTAATTATAAGTTCATGTTTTTCATTTAAAAACAGAAAGTTTGGGTTTACAGAACTCAGAAAACTGAACAAATTTAGGCTTTTTAAATCGGTTGAAAAGAAATTAAGAAGTATTTCGCTATGATGTGAAGAAGATTTCCCAATATTGTATAGCTTGAGTTTGATCTTCACAGTTTATGGGTAATTGAATGAATGAATAAATAAAAAAATAAAATATTTGGCATTCAGCGTAAATATTCCTGAGCAGTTCGGTATTGAAAATTATCTAAATCGGTTGACAGCGTTAAAAGTTATGAGTGACAACCCAGCTAGCATGGGAAAGATTGTTGGATGATTAATCAGTAAACAGAGTCTTTTTTGAATTCTTTTGATGATCTAAAATGATCAATAATTTACGCGTTTAAAAAATTATTCGAAAATGATACCGATATATGATTAAAAACTGATTATATGAAAAAACAATAACAAAATGTATAGCAATCATAAATTTATCATGCTGGTGTTTGAAATATGATGGCTTTAAAAACTTATTTTGAGATCATATTTCAAGCAGATCTAAAATTGTTTCTTGTGTAATTGTTTTTGTTTGTAACTGAACAACAACAATTACACTTAAAATGGCTCGAAAATTATTCAAAAATTAATTATCATCCTGGTGTTTGAAATATGATGGCTTTAAAAACTTATTTTGAGATCATATTTCAACCAGATCTAAAATTGTTACTTGTGTAATTGTTTTTGTTTGTAACTGAACAACAACAATTACACTTAAAATGGCTCAAAAATTATTCAGAAATGAATCGAAACTGATTAGAAAGGGGCTCATAAAAGACTCTTTTAGAAGAGTCTTTTGTAATTATATTTCGGTCAGTCTGAAGATATAAAACTGTTTTTTGTATTATTATATTTGTTTGTAACAAACATAAAAAATACTCAGAAAATGCTCAAAAATGACTAAAATAAGATTCGAAAATGACTCTAAAACCACCGGTATTTCGACTAAAAATATATACAAAAATGATTCGGAACTAAACAGATAGGGCTCATGAAAGACACTTTTAGGAGAGTCGCGGATAGGGTACTATTTTCTCCCAAAGAATGTATTATTTCTGATCAGAAAATGAGCGCATAGGTCCAGCGATGAATTCTGTTCTAAATCGTAACAATCGATCAAAAATTTTCCATAGATCCCATACAAAGGGATTTGACGTTAATAACTCCCTCCAAAATATCAGAGGATGATATTTAAAAATAAAAATTTTCCAGAATGATTTCTGAATAAATTAAAAAAAAACAACAATTTGAAAAACAACTAATCGGTTCAACTCTAGAACGGCCAATATTAGGCTTAAAATATTTTCGGAATCATCATTAAACAAAGCAATTTAAATTTTGAGAGGGGTAACACAAACTTTCCACACAAACATACATACTTTCTAAAAACATATTTAATTAAATGGTATTTTAAATTTGAAAATACTTTTACTTTCCACTTTAAATTGTATTGCAAATAAAGAAACTTTTAAATTATGAATTTAATAAATGTTATTTAATTTTAAATTTGTACGAAATTATGTTGTTTTATAACTTTAATGAAAAGACAAGTTTGTTCGGTTTAAATTATTTGAAAGTAATTAACAAACAAATATTAAAGTTTAATAAAAGCAGGACGGCAACTGAAATTATTGTGCAATTCCGTAGTGGCTCTACATAAGAACAAGTGTATATAAATTTATTAAGATAAACAATTATGAAGGTATATTTAAAAAGAAATTACAAACTTTTGTATTCAAAAAGACTGATTTTATTCTATACTTGTAGATTATCCTACATTTATGTTTGTTATTTACTGTGCTCAACGTGGTCCTGTCACAAATTTTTTATCCTGCCATAAGAGTTCATCAATTTGCTTTGCTACAAAACGGTAATGTTACTGTAGTTCCATTTATTGAAAGAGCAAGTCCAGCACCTTTAGTGCCTCGAGATGCTAGAGGAAGACGTTTAGTAATGGCAGCTACTCAGGCCACTCCAGCTATGCAAAGTAACAATACAAGTTTAGTTCCATCCAATAATAATACGAGTGCTTTATTGGTACCCCAATATCCTGGAGGGGCAGATATACAGTTAGACGTGCGTGGGGATGTATAAAAATTTTGTATCTAGTGTTAACAAATAATTCTTAATAAGTTATATTTTAAAGGCTTTTACTTTACAAAATTAATTTACATACATATGTATGTATTTTAATTGTTGTAGCAACTTGTAGTACTTGTTTTTTAATTAGATGTCATTTTTTAAAATTTTGGTAAAAGTACCGTATTCTTAAAATTTTATAACTTTTTAAAATTTCAACAGGTTTAGGAACAGTTTAAATTTTACAATCACATATTTTTTACGAGTTTAAAGACCTTAAAAGGGTGTGTACAGAAAACGGTTGCATGTAATGAAGTAAAATTTAGGATTTTAATTTAACTCACTTTTAATTTTCAATAATTTATTTAATATTTTACTATTCAATGTATATATGTATATACATAATATATTCATAAACACTTTTAGAAAACTGAAATAAAATAAATATTTGATTATGAAGAAGGTTTTTATTAATATTTTATTTTATTATACCTAAATGTCGATATTTATACAAATTTCTAAATTGAAGTCAAAGCTTTAAATGTGATATACATACATACATTGTTAATTTATATTTTTAAAATTGTATTTTATTTTTTTTTTAAGAAATAATTACTATATAAATCCCAGCAAAAAATTTTTGAAGTTGTTAAAGAAGAAGTGATATTTTCATGACTTCTTTAGTAAGTATTCTATTTAATGCGTTTTAAATACATGCCTAAATTCTAATAAATTTGTCATCAGTGAAGGCATGAAAAATGCACTCAAATTCACTCATGTAACTCCACTATAGGAATTGTAATATTTTATTATAATTTGGTATTCTCTTAGGAGATTTAACGAAAACGTGCATTTCATACAATAAATATTAAAAATGACATTAATTTTTTTATTAGGTTTTTGTTAAAATTAGTAATATTAAGTCCATTTTAACATTAATAAGAGAAGGGAAAAACTAAGACTGCTTAACGAATTTTAAAACACAATGGGTATTTTTCCTCAGCATGAATTTAAATCCAATCAAAATCAGTTAATTATGTTTTATCTTATTTTATTTTTATCAATATCACGCAAAAAATTTAAATATTGATAATTAAATCGAAATACCATTATTAATGCATTTTTAAATAAATATAGTGCACCAATGAAAATTCGCTTGAGAATCATCGAATATTCATTGGTTATAAGAACTCATTTAAATGACGAACTATTTTTCCAAATACGAACCCATGCATGCCAATGACACGCTAATGTTAAAATCATGCATGTTTCCCCTAAATATGAACCAGTTCATTATCAGTTCAACCCATGCATTTACTACTTTTTTTGCACGTCTTTTTTTGCTGGGATGTTATGGGTCTTATTCATAAACATTTATCAAAGGTTTATATGTAGAATGAATTTTGTATGAAAATTTGTTTTATACAGAGATATACATCATTAGCAATAAAAAACATCACCTGTAGACGCTTGAGATCGTAAAATTGAGTAATATTTTCAAAACAGCAAAAGTGGCAACAACGTGTCGAGATGCACATTTTATAGAACATAAAAATCAAAATAAATTTATATACAAATATCGGGATGGAGTAATTTCAATATAAAATAGAAAAAAATGCCGAAATGAGAGCACACAAAAGAAAATGTTGATGATTTTCCACACATTTTTGGGCTTTACGAGCTATCGCAGACATTTTTCAAATCAGTTTTTCTCCGAGCGTGCTAAAGTTTGCAACGATCAATTGTAGGATCCGTGTCGTTTTTTAACGTGCCCAATACCTGCAGTGCGAGTGAAAGAGATAAATATAGTATTGAAAATAAATTTATTAAGAAATCGTATTGTAAAAAAGTATTTCTGTTATATTTCTTTTTGAAGTATAAAATATATACGTACATACATATATAATATATATATATTTTTTATTATAAATATTTAATAATAGTAGAGTTTAAAAATATTCACCAAAAACACCGTTTTACAATGATTTAAAGTTATTTCCGGTGTCCATATAAAATATAAAGATAATAAAATTAAGAACCGAAAATTAATTGTATTGATAGTGTTGCAATTTGAAAGAATGTGTTCTATTTTTATAACACAGCTAAAATTTTCAACGAACAGAACATTTTTAGTGATAATTCCAAAATAAATTTCTGTATATATTGAGAAAAAGTGAAGAAATATTTTCATTCGAAACCATAGAATATAAAACGAATTGAAGTGAAAAGAAAAAAATATTTATACGTTTATTTAAAAAGATGTAAAAATAAAATCCAATTTTGCACCAGGCTAGACAACAAACGTAAAAAGTGATTTGAATTTATTTGAGCTGATTTAAACGAAGATTGATTGAAATTGTAAGTGTATTTATTGCTGCACTGATTGCGGGACACCAGAAAAAAGAAACATTATTAAGTACACTGAAAGAAAGTGTTACGCAATTTTCTGTGTATATTTTTATTGTAAAAGCGAACAAAAAGATCAACAACTACAACAGCAACAAAGATAACATCAAGGAAAATAGCCGCAACCACTAGCACAAGTTTTTAGCGACCAACAACAATAAGAACAAAAACAAGAACAACCGTTTTAAAATCAGCCATTTTAGCTTTTCTTTTGTTTAAGTTTTTTTCAAAACAACCAGGGAGGGCACTTGTACTTTGTCGTGGTTGTTGGCGATAGTGTTAGTAGTGGTACTACATTCACAAAGAACTTCCTACAGTTAGCCGCATCATCATCAACATCGTCGCATCATTCAACGCCATAATCGAGCGCAATTGCATTTCCCCCATTTAAGCAAATATTTTCGTAAGTATAAACACACACACGATATCTATTGAAAATTCCTCAAAATTGTCTGTTTTGTTAAAATATATACTTTTTCTTCTATTATTTTTATTTTTAATCGCATTCAGACACACAAACACTCAATTCTGTCATAAATAAGTATTTTGATTTGTTTTATGTTGCGTTTTTCTTTCTTCTTAAAGGGAGAGAAAATAAAATACACAGAAATTGAAAATAGGTTAATTGAGCAGACATTTTCTTCACACTTTTTTCTATAAAAATGCACTCTCTCTATTAGGGGATTCTCGGGATATATTTTTTTCCAAATTTCTCAATAATAAACAAAGGGAAGGCGCATGTTTGTTAAAAAACATGCGCAATAGTGTTTAAATAAAAATGCGCATAATTTGTATCCAAAGTTTCTTGATGCTGATGAGGTGAAAACAATGAATGAATAAATGACGATCAAAACAAATTTGACATTTATTATTTATTTAAGAATTTACGCAAATTTAAAACAAGTGGTTTCCTGTTGAACGGCATGTGTTTATAATAAAACAATTAATTTAATACAATTATATATCATTTTTCGTAATTTTCCGAAGTACATACAGTGAAGAGCAAAAGTTAACCAAGAATTCAAATAAAACAATATTCCATAAACTATTTATAAGTTTTTAAAAACTACAATCATGAAAAGATGAAGAAATAAAGTTAAGTTTTGGCTGCTATTGACAAAATGCTTTATTTTTCCTATCCCAAAGGTCCTTTGGTATTTGTCCAGCGAAAATTTTATGTAACCCTGAAATTTTTCTAATGGATTGATATCTAGAGATTGTGCTTTTATAATTTTGGCTGTTGAAAAATCTTTGTCATCATATGGTGGCTGCGTTCCACCGCCTTTCGCATACTTTTTTCGAACTGAAACGATCCTTGCTTCTGAAAAACATCTGAAATGTATAGATTATATATTAATATAGTATCCATATACATAAATTAACAATTATATATTATTATACATACCGCGTAAAATATTGTCAAATAAACACAACTTGGACAACACTCCCTTTTCCCACGTCCCTTTCCAATTGTACTTTTCAAGTAAACCATCCGTGAACAAAGCACGGATGAGACTGTTGACATCCTCTGATGTCCCTTTCAATTTGTGTAAATAAATTTTCTGCAAAGAAACATAAATATCAAAATATTAAAATATAAAGTATTTTAGTTTGTTGCCATTGATTGAGCAAACACTGCTCAATCACTCCCCCTAGGGTGCTTAAGGGAAACATACCGACGATTTCGTCCAGATTAGTATCGGTTATCTCGCCAGTCATTCGACAAACCGATGCGTCCACTTTTTTAATAATGACCTTGCAGTCCATTAAAAGTTTGGACTGTGCCATCATTTCGGGGTTTAACATTATCTTGTAAAATATTAAAATTGAAATAAAAATTAAAAGAAAAAGTGAATCTATAGATACTTAAATTTTTTCAATTATTTCTAATTTATTAGCAATTTGTTGTTGATTTGCCAATATAGCATTCTGACCATTGCTTAAAATTATTAATAATACTGGTTTGCTGAAATAAATTGAGAAAATATATAATATAAAATGTATGAACTTATTTACAATAAGAGAAAAAAATATATGTATATATTTAAAGTAAAATATAATTGCATACTTACAGCTTGTTCCATCTTCTCCAGCCGGGTATTTATCTCCTTTAGAACATCCAAAACGTCTTCAATCAAAAAATAAATAATTATAATATAATATAATAATTGTAATATAATAAAAATGATAATTAACTTAACCTTGATTTTTTAAATCATTTTTTGAGGATGATGATGGTAATATATCATATTTATTTACTGAGTAACATGTTCTAGTTAGTATGGGCTGGTTTTCTAAAAAAAAACATTTATTAAAACGTATGTAAAATTTTGTACATTGTTATTTTTGCTTATCGTTTATTTGTTGGGTCTCTTCCCCAAAACCCTCAAATATGTTTTGGGAATCCATGTAAATTATAAATGATACAAAAATTAATTATTAATTTATTTTAATAAATGTTTTATTGATATAATGTTTGTGATTTAGTGAGAAAATTCATGAAAAAGGTGGTGAAGAAGGGGTATTAGCAGAAATTTCCTATCATAGGGAATACAAAAATATTTAAAATCTATATCTTCTCTTCTTAATATAAAGGTTTCACTACTCAAATCACTACCAACAACTATACCTAAATCACTAAATGACTTCAATGGTTCATCGAAATAGTTTTCAGTCTTTTGGAAAACTTTGCCTACAAATTCGTCCAAATTTACAACACTAACTACTTTAATTGGTCCTAATTCTTTGCTAAAACAAAAATTATCCTTCTTATGATTAATATTAAAACTTCCTAATTTAGAAATCAAGTTCGAATCAGAAAGAAGTCCCTACCTTTCTTTTATCCTAAGGAATATCTGCTGCAAAATTTTGTTTGGTTTCTTAACAACACCTTTTATATATTGCATATAATTTTCGAATTTGTATGCTGAAAAAAATCTAAGGATCCAAATTGTTTAACACATTCTGCTAAATGCAGTAAGCCATGAATATTGAAACTAATTAGTTCATCACTGTATAATCTACCGAAAAATTTTACAAAGTCTTCTAATACACTTTGGGAAATATCTGCCTCTCGAATATGCGACATTTCACTCGACAGAAGCCTTATCGCACAATGCAACAGTAAAAAATGATAATATTGGTCACTACTAACACTATCTTTCAAAATATAAATACCTGTGTATAGTAAAAACTGTCTAAATTCTGTGGACTTCCAATTACTAATCTCATCTAAACTCCTAGGTGTACGGCAAAATTCTGATGAAACATACTGACTTATAATACCAATCTTCTCATTAATACCTGTTGCATTCCTCTTATTGACTAAAAGCTTAAACAATATCTTTGTGACTCCTAAATCTCCTAAATGCATGATGTCTAACGGAAATTGAGAAACCATTTCAAACCCTGATTCTTCTAAAATACTTCGTTTTTCCTTAAACTCTTCTATATGGTGAAAAGGACCACATCTGAATTCAAATGTCATATCTGTTCTTGGAATACCTATTTCTTTCTAAAAGCACACTCTTCTCTCTTTATATAATCCTTCCTGACAACATTTGGAGCAACCAACTTCCAACGAGCTGTTGTTGGAGATTTTTAATCTCATTTTTTTTAAATTATTTCAGCCGTTTTTGGACGATTGCATTTATTTCACACGTTAGAAAAGCTTTTTCAAGTAAAATTGTCCAATGTAAATCAAGGCTAAAGATCGAAGACATATTATCAGTAGTATGTATATTATCGCATTCTACGGCTGTCAAAAATGTGTGCTACAAGTTACAAGAATAAAAGCGTAGTATGCCTTGACGCGTAGAATGCTTAAAGTAGGTCTACTATCTATTTTTGTAAGCGTCATAAGCTGCGCACGAACATATCAGCTGTTTTTAACAATTTATATTCTATTTTTAATGTGTATTATCCTGCCTGACAGGAACAAAGAAAGTGCTTTGCTTTAGTGTTTCGCTTGACCAAACAGTTTATTTACAAGTCAACTTTGTCTTCATGGAAGAAGATTGTATCCATTTAGATTGAAAAGCTATTAGATCATTCAGATCTAATATTTTTAAATAAAAATACAAGTTTTAACAAAATGTAGAGTCGTGTTATACTATGTTTACACATTCATGTTTTTAACGTGTTTTTTGAAAAACATAATGAGTTCACATATTAAATTATCGTGTTTTTTGCTTTGAAATGTTTTTTCGACTTAACAATTTTGATTTAAAAATAAAGATTTTCACTTAAATTAGACTGAATTTAATATTTAAACACAATTATTTATTAATTTAAAACAAATTTAGAATCTTTTCAACAACAAAATTAATTTCTAATTTCAATTTTTATTTTTGGCATTACTTTTTGTCAGACCTGGGCGATTTCCATAACTTTCGCATTAACATTAAATTAAAAAAATAGTTTAATGTTGCATTAACATTAAATTTGTAAAATTTAATGCATTAAATTTGCATTAACATTAAATATTTTTGAATTTAATGCATTAATTTTACCTTAACATTAAATATTTTTGAAATTAATGCATTAATTTAGCATTAACATTAAATATTTCTGAATTTAGTTCATTAATTTTACATTAACATTAAGTAATAAAATGAATGCATTTATTTTCCATTAACATTATGCACATATATAAAAATTGATAAACATAAATAAAAATACAGCACATAAGACCTCGATCTAACTAAATACAACTAAAATTAAATAGGTTAAAGTCCTTTCCATTAACTCCTATATTACATTCAAACTTGTGTGTTTTAAATATGATATTTATATTAGATTCCACAGTGCTAAAAGGAATGCCTGGAAAGTGATACTATTCCTCTGATACGTATTATCGAGTATAGGACTTATTAGAAAGGACTTTAACACATTCAATTTTACTTGAATTTAGTTAGATTCAGGTCTTTAGCGCTGTATTTTTATACCCACCATCAAAAAAGATGGGGGTATATTGTCATTCCGTTTGTAACACATCGAAATATTGGTCATAGACCCACAAAAGTATATATATTCTGGGTCCTCATTAAATTCTAAGACGATCTAGCCATGTCTGTCCGTCCGTCTGTCTGTTGAAAGCATGATAGAGTCCGAATGGAAAGAGCTAGAGGGTTGAAATTTCACATAAATATTTCTTATAGGTAAGGTTTGTTTGGTATTGAAAATTGGTAATATCGGTCCACGTTTTCGGATAGCCCCTGTACAAGTGGCCCCTCGAAAAGCAGCTTTAACAGTCATAACATGTTTAAAAATACGAATAAAGCGATGAAATTCGACATAAGTAAGTTTCTTATGATCCAAAATCACTATGCAAAATTTTATGAGGATCGGTCCATAATCGACCCTACCCCCCATATAAGGTCCCCTTCAGAAAATGACTTTAAC